TGATGTGTGTGTGTTTCTACTGTGGTTGCGTTTCTTTTTGACTGCGTAGTAAGTAGCTAGTTACACACGAATGAAAAGCGTGATTTCTGTATACCTCGATCATTAATGCAACGAATTTCTGTATAGATACACATTAACGAAACGCAATAACAATATAACGCTGATGACAGAGAAAAAATGGAGAAAGATTAGATAGATTGAGTGTTCCTAATTGCACCGACATTTGGATACAATTTACTATTTTACTTATTGTGCAATAATTTCTCTAGTTTTTGACCACCTGTGGCGCCACAGGTGGTCAACTGGAACCGCCCCAATAAGCATAGTAAAAAACAGTAGACCCTAAAAACGATTTATTAATTCATTTTACATTTATCCCAACGTTGGCGAATTTCTGAGCAAAATTCTATCAGTTATGGGTTGACGCATTTGAGGATACACTGCTAGCAGATGTGCACCCCATCTTCGCCACTAGATTGTCCGAGAACCTAATGAACATGCTGATTAGAAAAAAACCTGTAAGATCCTTGATACGGGTGCAGTCCACGGCACAATAATAAATTCTTTTATTTAGATCTACAACATCTACTATCAATCATTATAATCATCATTAGCATTTATTACTTATCCGTTACTTAGTATTATTTTTATTTCGCAATTAATTATTCTTCATCTCCATCATGAACAATCAAAATACTCATTCGGATAGTGAAGAGATGTTGTAGCTGAACTCACTCTCACACCACCTCTCCCCGCCCCTCTCCCCACACACTTCTCGTAAAAAAGGCTAATTTGTAATTTGTGCGCGGCAGTAAGATGAGGAAATCTTCTAAAAAATTTTCCTTCAGGTTGGTAGCAAGTAGTTTTATCCATCTTCTCAGACTAACCGAGCTTAAATGTAAACAGTTTTATCTTCTGTTCTTTCACATCCATTTCGTAAAAATGGGCCTGCAAATTTATCTTCATCAGAAATTAGTCGAAAAATTTGTTTTTTTCTTCCTTAGAAAAGGATATATAGTCTTCTTCTCTAATACGATTCAGAAATTAGTCGAAACAATTTTTTCCTCAGTAGAAAAGGATATTTTGATAGTCTGCTTCTCTAACAAGATTCATACCTATATTTCACTTTTATCTAAAAATATGGCCGTCCGCATAGATTAATATCTTCTTAATATAGATATTTTCTTATATAAAGGCATGATATTTGATCATTTCTTCACCGTTTCCAGTTAGCTTCACTTCGTTCTCTTCAATTCAAGACTTTGAAAAAGAATTCGGAAGCGCTCAGTCTTTTCTCTTCAATACTTTTGTCATTGTACAGTTTCTCTTTAAATTTAAAAATAAATATAAAAATTTTAAACAACATCAAAATGCTTTTCTAGGTGGTACTGGTTGGGATTAGTGCCAGAAACGGGGCATTATCTCTTCATAGACCCTCGACCAATTTTGACAAGTTTTCTACTCTTCTGTATATGTAATATATAATAAAAACATTCACTTACTTGACATATCAAATAATTGTTTTCTTAAATAACGTATGAGTAATATGTGCATTATTGATTTTAAAGTAAAATTAATAATCAAGGTTAAATAGTATTCACCATTTACCAACACTTTTTAAACACTCAAAGCAATACTACTATTCATCTCTTATTTGTTTTCAGTTTAGATTTAAACATAGCCACAAGTGATTAGTAACATATTAAGTCATACGAGATGAATGTTTCATTTAGATTTTTCTTCTTAGTATTCTTATTAGTGTAACTAAAGTTGCGAACAATGTTAACGTGTTCTCTCATATATGTTGTATTCATTAAACCATCAGTATGCAAAACATTCATTCGAAGAATAAATTCAACGACTCATACAACTCAAAAAAAATATATGAACGAACAAATCATGTATTTTTGACATCATCATATTGTTACCAAACCTTGTATATCTACTATAATCCCATTAACCATTTTTTCACTTCATATTACTCAATCATGATGAAGTCAAATATGAAATATCTCACGAATGATCGTACGTCACATGCTCACTGGAATAAAGCGCCTACACAGTCGATTGTCTTACCAATGTTTTCTAACGATTGTGTTGCACGCTCACAAATCAGTACAGCCATATACTGTATAATAATAAAATCGTTCATAGTGTCAACGGTCAATCATACATCTTCTATGCTCAAGAATAGGACTAACACAAGAAACAAGACCGCTGAAAAATTCAGAACAGCAAGATCAAAAGAACCTGAATACAATGACTACCGTCATAGCAGTATCGAACGATGGTTCTATAAGTGCATTATAATTGTTACGTAACAAGATTCTGAAAAAGTTATTATCACTGAATATAATTTCAACTACTGTAACTTTTAGTTAGGACAGTTATATAAAGCAAATAGGGTAGAAAACGATTAACAACAATTGTCTAAAGAACGTTAATGAGAAATGTTTACAAAGTTGGTATCTCAGAATTACCAAATGCTAGTCAAAATGTATTGCTGAAATCATGAGAGAAACATAAAAATTGTGGACAACACTCATCATCTACCAGTTAAGTGGGGGGGAATCCCTCTATTTTGACATAGTGTAGGCTATGACCTTAAGTGTTTGATTGATGCTCCTTATTATGTCTGAAATGCACAATTTAGGAGCAATTAGATAATTAATACTTAAATTTAATTAAAGTTTCGATTTCGATGGTATTATAAAATAATTCATTATATTTTATTGGAATGTCTAATCAACGTCGTTGTAGAGTTATTTTGTAGTCAATCTTTAGTTGCATATAATAACCTTTGAAAAGTTTTCCAACAACATAGGTTTTTTAAGTGAAACATTGTAGAAAAGTGTTTTTCCTTTAGAGGAGTCGTTGATGGTTGCAGAAAATCTCCGTTCACGTAGATACGGGAGAGTTTGAATTAGCCTTAAATTAAAGCTAATGCATAAGCCTGGAATAAAGAAGAGTCTGATTTTTCAATTTATGGTCTGCTCGGTTTTGGCATTTCTCACAAATAAAAAGCCCGTAAAAAAACTCATTCACGTTTTTCAGAAATCCTTCTCTTTATCAGAAACTAGATCTCTATTCAAAAATCAGACTATTGTATATAGTAGATCTATATATTAGTTCCAATTTGTGCCCAACCCGAGAACGAACGACGAATTGCAATGAGTGCCTATGAGAATTCCCCGAGGATTTTCCAGTTTCTAGAAAATCGAATTTCCAATAACCTAGCAAATCGTCCTTGAATTTCCATAAATAATTTCCAAGAATCTGGAAAATCCTCCGTGATTTTCCAGTTTGGTAGAAAATCGCCGTTGAATTTCCATAAATAATTTTCAAGAAAGTAGATATTCCTTCCTGATTTTCTATAGACTGAAAATTCCTTGGTGGATCTGCACCGAGTGGTGCCTCGACCAGGCTGTATGGGGATTGCCCACGCTCATGCTTTTGAGAAATTTCTGGTGAACGTCTCCGATTTTCGGACCTTCTTACCAAAGCTTAGCGCCACCACTGCCTCTGCCTAAATCAAAACTCTTGCCGGCATAGGCAGAATTATGATCTAAAGTAGAAACTGTCAAAGTTGATTTAAGTGTAATATGAGTGTCTTTACGTGATGCTCTTATACCTACACTGATTGCAAAACAAAAAGATGAATAAGTATTTGGTCTAGAAATTCCTGGGCGAATTTCCACTTCCCAAAAAATCGCCGAGGATTTTCTAGGTTATAGAAAATCAAAGTCGACTTTCCAGATTCTTGGAAATTATTTATAGAAATTCCTCAACTATTCTCCACCTTTATAGAAAATCGAATTTATGGAAATTTAAGTCGATTTTCCATAAACTAGAAAATTAACATTTCCTAGGAAGCTAGAAATTCGTCGAGGAATTTCTATAAACTAGAAAATCCCCGGCGATTTTTCGATCGATTTTCTATAAACTGGAAATGAATTCAAAGTTACAGTGTAGTAGAAAATTCTTGTAAATATGAAATTCTGTAAAGGTCAGAGTGGTGTTTAAGTTGAACACACCGACAAGTCCCAAAAGAAATTTTTCGTGAAGCTCTCTCCTTACTTTTAGCAAAACTGAACGGAACAAGTCGTCTGGATAGATCGACATATCCCAAAAGAGTGGAGATAAAGGCTTTGCTTTTTCTGGTAGAAGCTAAAGGCCCAAGTCGGTTGGATACGTCAACATGTCCTGTTGCAATTTATCTTTAACGTTAGTTTTATTTGAGTATTTTAGGCAGTAACTGTCTATAAAACAATCGTTGGACAATCAACAACTGAATCACCGCGTGATTATTCGATCTATATCTCAGTTCTCGGAGTACGCCATGCTTGCGCCAGGCCCCATAGGACATATTGCAATTTGGAATCCATCGTAGTTCTTTCAAAGGTATTCGAAACGCGTGTAAATTCGCTTATGTCCATTTTTTGTTTTCTATTCAACATTCGTCGTTATATTTTTTTAAAAACCATATAGTTTTCTATTAAAACAAAATCAAAACACAACCAAAACACATTCTATTATTGAACCAAGCATTTATCCAAGCAACGTCCGTATCATTTCTCTTCTCTTTCCATCCTTTGCGCTCTATTTCATCTACCGTACTTCTCTTAGTATATGGATATGGCTTATCAACTCAAGCATGACTATGAGTAACCCTTGTTTAATTTAAATAAAGCTTTTGACATTCATCGTCATGCGGTTCTACCTGGGGCCTGTTTCTTAAAAAAACTTAAGTAGAAAATCTGACTTAAGTCAAACTTAAGTCCAAAAAGTCTTTGTCTTTTTTGACTTAAGTAAGATTTTCTACTTAAGTTTTTTTAAGAAACAGGCCCCTGGTCATATAGACATTTATAACACATTTATAGACACTTATAATATTTTATTTAAAGCGTTAAACTACGCAGTATATATTTTTCTATTAAAAATAAAAACAAAAATCCCAAAACATCTTTTTCAATTATCGTTTATTCAAGCAACGTTCTTTTCTATCCCTTGAGTCCCAGGGCATAACCGCCTCCCTGAACACCGCCTGCCTCAGGCGGATTTCTTGATAAACTAATAAGATTTTCAGCATATAATTTGTCAGCAAATACTAGTCGCAATCTCTTTATTCCCTCAGCAGATATTTCATTACCATCTAGAATTAATTGGTCTAACCTAGAGTTTTCGAACAAGTCAATAATAATATTGACGCTGTTGTCACTGATTTTATTATTTTTAATAGATACGTGCGATAGACCGGGGTTGCTGTTGGTGTTGTTTATTTTCACTGCTACTGCCAACGATGTCAGTCCAGCATCACCAATTAAGTTATTATCAAGATACAAGTTATGTAATGCTATATTCTCCATTAGCATTTCTGAAATATACTGGCAGCCCACATCCGTAATTCCATTTCCGACCAAAGTGAGTTCGGAAAGATGAGTCTTGGTATTCATTTTCAACGAACGGCTGATTAGTTGTAGACCTTCATCTAACAGAGAAGTTTTTGAGAGATCAAGTGTCTCCAATCCTTCGTTTACCATTAATGCATCCGCTAAATATTGACCACTTGTGCCGCCTAATATTTTATTATCACTCAAATTAACATACTTCCACTGCTTGTTTGCTTTTAGTTCATTTACAATTACTTTAACCTGATCATTGTTCAAATTTTTACTGTCCAAATGCACATACTCCTGCGTTTTGTGTGTTTTTATCCATTCGACAAGATCGTCTCCCTGCTTATACTCCTGGTAAGCGGAGTCCGAATACGTGTCTTCTTCAAGATTCAGATATTCAGACGACATTATTACCGTATATAATTTTTATTTAAAATATGTGATGTGTGTGTGTTTCTACTGTGGTTGCGTTTCTTTTTGACTGCGTAGTAAGTAGCTAGTTACACACGAATGAAAAGCGTGATTTCTGTATACCTCGATCATTAGTGCAACGAATTTCTGTATAGATACACATTAACGAAACGCAATAACAATATAACGCTGATGACAAGGAAAAAATAGAGAAATTATTGCACAATAAGTAAAATAGTAAATTGTATCCAAATGTCGGTGCAATTAGGAACACTCAATCTATCTAATCTTTCTCCATTTTTTCTCTGTCATCAGCGTTATATTGTTATTGCGT